TTATGCATTTCTTCTCTATCTTTACTCTTTTTTATTCCTCTGAGAATTTGTATCTTTGAACCTCTCTATTTCTTCATATATGTTAATGAAAAGTTTTTCCTTGTTCAGAAAGAATAAAATAGAAATACTTACAATTTACAAGCTAAAAACGAACCCATACACTCATAAGAGGTTGAACCAAGCATTCCAAGGCGTCACTTCACCATGCTAGAGTCATTGTACAAACGACCCAATTAAAACAACCTAAAACCAGAAATTCAAGTTCAAATAGATAAAAATGGGAATGACTAAGAATCCCAATCAAAACACCTCTAAGATAAAACCCAAACTACCTAAATCAAAGAGTACTTATATTAATTTTTTTCTTCATCAATCTACGTACCTCGAGCATTTGTTTTGGTCTTGCCAGTATGCTCATAAGATCTAGCTTCGTTTATTTGACTGTTTTGGGGTAGAGCTAGCCCTTCCTAGGGATCTTAGCGCATTTTAGAGGAGATGCTGTTTGCCCCCCCCCCCCTCTTTCGTGATAAGGGGCGGTTCTTGTGGTAGGCAGGTTTTTTGTCTACTTTGTGGGGTATTTGGCTGGAGAGGAACAATAGAATTTTTAGGGGGGTGGAGAAGACGTTGGATTCTGTTCGGGACCTTGTTAGATTTAAGACTTTTTTCTGGGCTTCAGTCTCTAAAGCCTTTTGTAATTATCCGTTACATGTTATTCTTTTGGATTGGACCCCTTTTCTTTAATGGGTGTCCTCTTTTGGGGATGTTTTTTGTATGCCCTTCTTGTTGTTCTTTTCATATTTCTCAATGAAAGTGCAGATTCTTATCTGTTAAATTATAGTTATTTTATTTTAAAGGTTTCCTATTGTATTTAGGTTAGGCTTTTCTTGTTCTAATAGGTAAGTATTTCCCTTATCCTAATAGGCAAGAATTTCTTTTAGTTTCTTCTTTGTGACTACTATTTATATCACCTTGTATCAATCATTTGTAGTAATCAAGTGAGAATTATTTTTTCCTTATCAAATTAACATGGTATCAGAGCAATGAGGTTTTTTGTTGATTGGCCTTCATCTCGACTATTTTCTTGTTGGTGGGTTTCTTCCGTTACTGTTTTTTGGACCCGTTTCTTTCCTGTTTGTGGGTTTCTTCCATCATTCAGCCGTCGTTGCCGTCGCTATTCATACGCCACTGTCACCACCGTTCGAAGTCTGCATTGTCGCAGCTGTTCAATCGTCGTTTTTTCCTCCGAGGTCTTGTTTGTCGCTGATTGTTCAGTCATCGGAGTCGTCATCAGAAGCGCCGTCGTCAGGTTCTGGGTGTGCCGTTCGTGGTCGTCGGATTGTTTGTGTTCATTATTTTTCGGTGTGGCCGTCGATTGAACTGTTCGTGGCTGCTAGGTATTTCTCTCAAAGAGTGGCGACTAGGGTTTCAAAAGAGAACTAAATATTGCTTGGTTCGGTTCACGGTTTTCGGTTCGGTTCGATTTTGCTCGATTCGGTTCGTATTGGTTCAGTTTCAGCCCGGTTTGATCTAGTTCTGGTCTGCTTCTGTTTCTTTCTAGTATGATTCAACCTTTTTCTGGTCTGATTCTACTTGGTTTGGTCCGATTTTACTTTGTTTTTTCCTAAAATCAAAGTCTAACAAGAAACTATTATGGAAGAAAATTATAAATCTGGAGAGCTACAATACATCCACCCTAGTTATAGGTTGGATGGAAAAAATTATTTAAAATGGTCTCAACTTGTTTAAACATTCTTAAAAGGAAAAGGAAAATTGAACCACATTACTGGGAAAGGACCCAAACCAGAAGATCCAAAGTTCGATGTGTGGGATGAAGAAGATTCAATGGTCATGTCTTGGTTATGGAATTCGATGACTCCGACTGTTAGTGATACATGTATATTTCTTTAAGACTGCAAAGGACATGTGGGAAACAATGGAACAAACTTATTCCAAAGTAAAAGACGATGCAAAAATATTTGATATCAAAACTCGTATCTTTGGAACAAAACAAAGTAATCGAACATGACAGAATACTTCCAAATTTCGTTGGTTTATTGTATTCATCGATGATTGTACTAGAGTTTCATGGGTTTATCTTTTAAACAAAAATCTGATGTTGGTTCTACCATTTAAACATTCTTCCATATGATCAAAAATCAATTTGGAATCCAACCCAAACGATTTCGTTCTGACAATGCTTGAGATTATTTCAACCAAACCTTAACATCATTCTTTCAAAAACATGGAGTTATTCATTAGTCGTCTTGTGTGGAAACTCCTCAACAAAATGGGGTGGCCGAAAGAAAAATTGGTCACATCCTTTCTGTGACCCGTGTCCTTTTTCAAAGAAATGTTCCTAAATCCTTTTGGGGAGAAGCTGTATTGACAGCCACCTACTTAATCAATCGGTTACCATCTGCTACTCTAGATCAAAAAACTCCCATGAAAATTGTATCGAAATTTTACCCTGACTTCCGCATAACAAATAATTTGATTCCTCGAGTATTTGGTTGTGTAGTTTTTGTTCACGTTCATAGTCATCAACGAGGTAAACTTGAGCCACGAGCACTCAAATGTATTTTTGTTGAATACTCGAACACTCAAAAGGGATATAAATGCTACCATCCTTTTTCTAAAAGGTATTTCATCTCTGCCGATGTTACCTTTTATGAAGATGCTAGCTTCTTTACTTCACCTTATCTTCAGGGGGAGGAAATATTGTTGGTTGATAAGAATTTACCTATTCCTAATCTCACTTTTCCTTCAAACCCTTTACCATCACCTATGCCAAACCCTACTCGAATTGACCTCAACCAACCTTCTTCATCTGTAGACCCCTCATTAGATCCATCTAACCCTCCTACTACTATGCCATTACAGGTTTATTCAAGAAGGAACATTGAAAAAGATAAGTAAGTCCAAGAGTCTGAACATATCTCTAGAACTGAAATTGACGAGGAAAGTGTCAGTAATGAGTCTGACATTATAGTATCCAGTAATGATGAATAAGATATGGATTTACCTATTGTTTTGAAGAAAGGAAAACGAACTTGTACTCAATATCCATTATTTCACTTTGTATCATATGACAAACTCTAAAGTCAGTATAAAAGTTTTATGGTGAACCTTACACAGGTAAATATTCCAAAAACATATATGGAGGCAATACAATATAAAGAATGGAGACAAGCAATGAATCTTGAAATGCAGGCCTTAGAGGAAAATAGAACATGAGAGTTGGTTACTATGCCTAAAGATAAGAAAGCAGTAGGTTGTCGATGGGTATATACTGTGAATTATAAAGCAGATGGAACACTTGAGAGGTATAGAGCATAGTTAGTTACTAAAGGATATACTCAAACATATGGAGTTGATTATCTTGAAACATTTGCACCTGTTGCCAAGATGAACACAGTACGAATACTTCTATCTCTCGCTGTCAATCATGGATGGGACATGTTACAATATGACGTTAAAAATGCTTTTCTGCATGGCGATCTAGAAGAGGAAATTTATATGGAGATTCCACCGGGGTATGAGCAAGCAGGAAATAAAGTTTGTAAATTGAGAAAAGTGTGGTATGGATTAAAACAATCTCCCAAGCCATGATTTGGTAGATTTTCTCAGGTTATGAGAAAGATGGGCTATAAACAAAGTCAAGGAAATCATACATTGTTTATAAAACATTCTACTACAAGGGGAGTAACAGTATTGATTGTTTATGTGGACGATATTATTGTCACTGGCAATGATAATAATGAGCAAGATAAATTGAGAAATTGTTTAATCCAAGAGTTTGAAGTTAAAGAACTGGGAAGACTGAAATATTTTCTTGGGATAGAAGTAGCCTATTGTAAACAAGGCATATTCTTATCACAACAGAAATATGTGATTGACTTATTTTCTGAAACAGGAAAGCTTGGTAGCAGACTAATGGGAACACCAATTGATCAAAACCATATACTGTGTGCAGCTAAAGAGAGTCCCGCAGTAAATAAGGAAACTTACCAGAGGTTAGTTGGAAAATTAATATATCTTTCTCATACAAGACCGGATATTGCGTATGCTATAGGAGTGGTGAGTCAATTTATGCATAGTTCAAAAGAAGTCCACCTTCAAGCAGTATACCGAATACTTCACTATTTGAAGAACTCTATTGGAAGAGGATTACTATTTAAGAAAAGCGAGAAACTCAATCTAGAAGTTTATACAGATGAACATTATTCAGGATCAATAGATGATAGGAAATCAACTTCTAGCTACTATACTTACTTAGGTGGAAACTTAGTGACATGGAGAAGCAAAAAGCAGAATATAGTTGCAAAATCAAGTTCAGAAGCAGAATTTAGAGCAATGGCATTAGGTATCTGTAAATTACTCTGGATAAAGATTATTTTAGAAGATTTGAAGATTCTATGGGAAGGACCTATGAAACTTTATTGTGATAACAAGTCTGCCATCAGTATTGCACATTATCCGGTTCAACATGATAGAACCAAGCATGTTCAAGTTGATAGACACTTCATAAAAGAAAAGTTAGATAGTGGCCTCATATGTACTCCATTTGTACCAACAAACAATCAAATAGCAGATATTCTTACAAAAGGATTGAACAACAACAACTTTGAGCATTTGGTTAACTGGGAATGGAAAATATTCATTCACCAACTTGAGGGGGAGTGTTAAATTATAGTTTATTTTATTTTAAAGGTTTCCTATTGTATTTAGGTTAGGGTTTTCTTGTTCTAATACATAAGTGTTTCCCTTGTCCTAATAAGCAAGAATTTCTTTTAGTTTCTTCTTTGTGACTACTACTTATATAGCCTTGTATCAATCATTTGTAGTAATCAAGTGAGAATTATTTTTTCCTTATCAAATTAACATTATCAAAAAAATAAAAATAAAAAATAAACAAATTTGTGCACTACTTTAATTTTCAACACATAAAAGGGACTAATTATGGTCCAAACAACCTAATTATATTTTACAATTAAAATTACCTAGTATTGCATCGCGTGCAATATTGGCAGCAGCATCTCCAAGGTTACCATAGAATTTGGTGTAACGCCTGCCCATAAAATCTTCTTTAACAACGTATGTAATAATTCATATAGAAATATTTCTCGTACAATTTTGTACTAACCTGTGATAAGTTTTTCCTGTACAAAAGTTGACTTCAGGGCAGTCCCATGACAATGAAAATGTTACAGTACGAACTGCATCAGATGGAACCGTAACTGAAGCAGCAACGGCCGCACCGATGGATGAACCCACTTCAGAGGGCATTGACATATCAGCAAAGTTAAGGCGATCAAAGGATCCATGCTACAAGAACAAAATAGGCTAATCAAGCTCCAAATTTAAGTAATAATACAAATTATGATTTTATTAAGAGTTGTCGCAGCATGAAGAGTTAAGAAAATAATAACAGTATAAATTTAAAATGTTCTCACTAAATCAGTATATTTTCTTATACTGACACAAGGGAGGAAAAGAGCCACATTATTCTTTTTGAAACAAGTAACAAAATTCTTCATTAATTAGTGAAAAAATGATAATGTAAGGTCCAGTCTACCAAGTATTATAGTTGGTTTACTTGTGGATATTAGTTGTAATTAGTTGTAAATATTAAATTCTTATTTACATTCCTTTTATGTACTGTGCCTTTCTCCTATATAAGAAGGTTTTGTATTTCTCACTTGAGATATATTATTGGAATACAAGTATTTTATTCCATCTAAATCAAGTTGGTATCAGAGCCATGGTCTAAACCAAGCTATGTCGATGAATCCTCGAGTGTCGAACAAAGAAGTGGTGAGCCTCAGAAGGTGTAATAATGGTGTAATCCGTGGGTGTGCTCTATCAAGGCTGTGTTGCATCCTTGAGGCCTTTTGGGTGAAACCAAAAGTAAAACCGTGAGGGCTATGCCCAAAGCGGACAATATCATACCATCGTGGAGATTATGTGGAGTACTCGGGATACTTGTTGTCCTTAACAAGTGGTTATGAGCTATGGATTTCTTCAGAGTCAAGCTGATCATACCATCTTTTATAAACGTTCTGAAAATAATAAAATTGCAATTTTGATTGTCTATGTAGATGATATTGTGCTTACAGGTGATGATGAAGTAGAATTGGCTACTTTAAAGAAAAGACTTGCATGCGAATTTCAAATCAAGGACCTAGTAACATTAAAATACTTCCTAGGAATGGAGTTTGCCAGATCTAAGAAAGGTATCTTTGTAAATCAAAGAAAATATATTCTTGATTTGCTTGGAGAAACAGGTTTGCTTGGATGCAAGATAGCTGAGATTCCTATTGAACCTAATATGAAATTGGAAGCTGCGAAAGAAGAAGTAAAGGATAAGGAACGATATCAAAGTCTTGTGGGAAAACTCATTTACTTATCTCACACACGTCCAGATATTACTTTTGCAGTGAGCATGCTAAGCCAATTTATGCATTCACCAGGACAAGTTCACTTTGAAGCTGCCTATAGAATTTTAAGATATTTGAAAGGAACTCAAGGAAATGGCATATTATTCATAAAACACAACCATTTACCGGTTGAAGTTTGTACCAATGCTGATGGGCAGGAAGTACAATAGATAGAAGATCTACTTCTAGGTACTGTTTGTTTGTTGGAGGTAACTTAGTCACTTGGCGACGTAAAAAACAAAATGTAGTAGCCAGAAGCAGCGCTAAAGCTGAATTTAGGGCCTTAGCTCATGGTATTTGTGAAGAGTTGTGGATAAAAAGGTTGCTTGAAGGACTGAGGGTTTTTCAGAAGGCACCCATACGAGTTTATTGCGACAACAAGGCTGCCATCTCCATAGCCCACAATCCAGTTCAACATGATAGGACTAAGCATATTGAAATTGACAGACATTTCATAAAGGAAAAAGTGGACACCGATGTGATATGTATCCCTCATCTCCCAAAAATAGAACAGACTGCTAATGTGTTGACAAAAGGACTACCAAAAATACAATTTGACAGGATGATTGACAAGCTGGTAATGGAAGATATCTTTAAACCAGCTTGAGGGGGAGTGTTGGTTTATTTGTGGATATTAGTTGTAATTAGTTGTAAATATTAAATTATTATTTACATTCCTTTTATGTATTGTGTCTTTCTCCTATATAAGAAGGTTGTGTATTTCTCACTTGAATACAAGTATTTTATTCCATCTAAATCAAGTATTACATACAGGAAAAACTCAAAATGAAGCTTACAAACAAAATCCCACCTCAATTTGTGTGACTATACAGGGAAATAGTTGCTATTGCTAAACTCTCTATCTAAAAAAAATCCAAGAAGAGAAATGGATTTTGCCAACTTGAACATTTCTCTCCAATCTTTTGTCTTTCAATTCAATGCAATTAATAGAAAAAACTTTTCAATTGGAAGCAATGAAAGGAGAATAATTTAAAAATAATAATAATAATAATTAAAAAAATAATAATAGACAACTGAATCTCTCAAGCTTCCCTCCACAAAGTCTGGTCCTCTTGGAATATTTGTACATTCACAATGTGACACCCTTGTCAACTACCCTACAAAATGAGTTGATTCCTTCAACTCTAATAAAGAACTCAATGAAGATGGTGCAAACTTCGAAAGGTATGGTCTACCTGTGTTAAACATGACAATCAAGGTGGAGATTTCATTGCTCATGGTTTTCCTTTTAAGGAAACCCAACTTTGTTCATCCCACCTCTGCGGGAACAAACTAAAAGTGCTAATAGTTTGAGTGCTCTTTATGGACCAGTTAAACACAATGGCTATGATCACACTCAGTATAATTGGCCTCAAGGTCGAAAAGATGTTACCAATCATACTAAGCACGTGCATGCACCACCTTCATCTAACAGAATTTAAAAATTTCAACACTACCACCTCACCCTCCTGTCTCCACTTTTGTCCCTTTTTTTAAGGGATTCACTGATACCTCAATAAAAAGCGACCAAGTTCAAAGTAGGGTCTTCATGAGATCAAATTTTCTAACAAAGACCCTCCTAAAGAGGGTTAGTGCCTCCTAAGAAGAAAGTTTTGAGCAATATCTCCTAAATGGAGGCCACCCTCCTTTAAAAAAGTTAATCAATCTTCTATCAAAGATAAAAGTCATAGTGTAAATAAAAGTAGGAGTATTTCTAATGATCACAATTAATTTGAATGGGCACATTTAGCAGTTCCTTGAGGATAATATTACTCAATATTCATTATCGATAGTACTTCAACTTCAACCACAATGTAAAAATAATTGAAAATTGCACACCTGCAAGGTACATTAAAGGAGTTCTAAATAAAATCATTCATTACCTAAGGTGTCCAAGAATTTTAGGTGGAGTGATACAGTTAAAAATTCCACATCTGCTCAAATGTAAAAGAATATCTCAACAAAATAATATGCTAACTAAGATATCCGAGAATTTCAGATGGTCAAAGTTAACATTCATTTTAATCTCTAAGCATCATCAAGAAATGATGCTAAATACACCAAACTAAATACCTCTTTGATCTCAAGCCACATATCTTTGGCCGATATGCCCTGGAAGTTACCGGATGTTACAAAGCAAGGGCAATTTGAGACATGAACTCCATTACCCTCCTGTGCTGCAATAGCATAAGTCACCGGAGGAAATCCACTTGTCGTCCTGTATTGCATATTTAAAAGAGAAGATAATGAAATATAAAAATATATAATTAATGCACTAATCAGACCCTTGTCGTCCCGTATTGCATATCTAAAGAGAAGATAATAAAAATATAAAAAAATATATAATTAATTCACTAATCAGACCCTGCCCAATCCCCTTTTGTTTCCTTTATTTGCAATCAATAACAAAGAAAGGCACTTGCTTGTGATGCAGGAGCACAGCATGCACGCCATCCTTCTTCCTAAAAAAGTAATGAATATTGTAGGTTAGATTTGAATTTACGATAAATATATAATACAAACACAAACGCATAAACTAGATTTAGTTAGAAAAACAATTGCAGCCATAGTTCTGATTATACAGGATAAAAATGAGGTCAAGTTAATGTTATTTTCTTACTTCGTTCTTGAATTGATATGGTTTCCAGAATATTCAGAAAGCCCTCCAACCGAATTCTGAATGGCATGGGAAAAAAAAAAAGAAAATAACTAAGTCCAAAGAATCTCATGCATCTATCTAAATATAATATATACAAAATCCAAGAAAGAATCTAAAAGAATAAGAATTCATTAATGACATAGTATTAGAGAAAAAAATTAAAGCAATCAAATCGATATTCATGAAGAACACATACTGCCCAGGTGAAAAGCAAAGTGACGTCAGCAGCAGTTTTTCCACAATTGTGCAACTGAAGAAACGTAAATCACGAGACCAACAATGAACTTAAATTCATAAGACAAACAACAAGAGCAAAAAATAAGATAAAAATAAAAGGAAATACCGAAATCCATTTCTACCGTGAAAGTAAAAACAGAGACAGGGTAGCTGCTCTCCTTGTAATTATGGGGAATAACCGGTGAAATTTGACGGCAAACTATTCTAAGTTCTGGATCTGGTTCACCTGCAGTGAAGAAGAAAGGGTGAAAAATGACTTGGATATAAATAATGATCAACTTAAGAAACGTGAATGTAAAAATTAAGGCTTTGTTTGACAATCATTTTGTTGTGGGTTTTCTATTTTTGATGATTAAACTTACAACCATTACTTCCACCTATACCTTCATTTGTCTTGTTATCAAATTTTTACAACCATTTTCAAAATCTAAGCCAAATTTTGAAAATCAAAAAATGTAGTTTCCAAAAGCTTGCTTCTTTTTTTTTTTTTTAAATTTAGTTTTGTGTTTTGAAGAAAGATGAAAAAGCATACCAGAGAAAACATAATTTTAAAAAAGAGAAAATTAAATCGAAGCCATTATCAAACGGAACCTAAATAATATACCGTCGTATACTGTCCAAGACCTTGGATACAGAGCATGATATGTCGATCTTCGACCCTTCAAATTCCAGTCCCAGGACCCAATACCTGATAATTCAACTTCCCTGACAGAGGAAACTTGATGTCAAGAAATATGTATTATATGATATGATACAAATAAAATGTTTAATAACAACTACCTCTGTGTTTGAGGGCTCTGTGCACATAGTACAGTAGAATATTGCTGCGCATTTGGACGTGAAACAAAAACCTGTTGCGAAGTTATAGATGGAGTGACAGTGCGATGTGCATGTAATAATACACATAAAGAGTCATATTGAGACAGCAAGGGAAGGCAATTTAGATTCACTGAACTCACAGAAAACTGATTTGCTAAAATTGGCTTATCTTCACATATTCTAGGGAATAGTTGCCAGCGTTGAAATTGACCTCTGTAACTTCTTCCAATGCTTCCTGATCTGTACATTTTGGAGTGTTAAAATAGCAAAAGAACAAAGTATAGCTACATGTATTCCCAGATCAATTTGAACGAACCAAGAGCTTATATAATTTTTTTTTTTTTAAGAAACAATTTGATTGATGTATGAAATTACGAGAGCTTATATAATTTGAACGAACCAATCACCCTTATGTCCGTCCAATAGAATAAGAATAACTCTAGAACCAAGTTTTCGAGATTTTAAACAGCTCAATAATATACCACAATGAAAATAAAACAAGCATGCAGTAAAGAGGAGAATAAATCATTTCAGACAGTTAAAGGAAGTTTCATTTCTCAGAAACTCGAAAGTTGTAGATACTTCCTTCCCGGCAAAGAAATAGTCTTGTTTGAAGGAAGATCACAACCCTCAGACTTACGCAGAGGCAGTTAGGAAAAAAGAAGCGCCCCCAATGACCTCTAAATTCATTCCTGAAGCAAGCAAATATCCTGAAATACCAGTTGACAGTGATCAGTCTCCTCGACGTTTTGTCCAGAAACCAACTTCTAACAAGAATTGGTCTTCTGAGCATTGGATTAAAAAGGAAGTGGAAGTAGTTGATATGGATTGGAATAATTTGATGGTAGTGTCCAGATGTTGTGACCATGATGAATGGACCAAAATTGCTTTAGCCTTGAAAGAAAAGTACTCTCAGCCATGTATGCTTAATCTTCTCATGAATGTTAAAGCATTATTAATTAGTAACTCCAGAATATTAAATTCAGAGGAATTATCTGGGAGATGGGTCTCTGTTGGTGAATATCGTATCAAAATTTAATTATGGAATCCTGAAAGCCACTGTAGAAAGGAGATTATCAAAAGCTATGGAGGGTGGATTTTAGTTCATGATCTTCCCCTGTTCTTATGGTCTAGATATTGTTTTGAAGCAATTGGTAAATACTGTGGTGGATTAGTTGAAATTTCATCTAAAACGTTAAATCTTTTAGATGCCACTGAAGCAATGATTAGAGTTCCTCAGAACAAGTGTTGATGCAGCACCTCACAAGGTTTTTTTAAGAAATGATTCAATGCCCTTTCATTAAAAGGCTGAAACCTATTTATAGAGGTTTCAAGCTTAAGAA